TCTCTGAGCTAACATCAGGCTTTGTATCATTTTACCCATAAACGCTTCCTTATGTTTCTCCAGCCCAGGGGTCTTTAACCATGTTTGTGCCACAGGATCCCGTTGCAGTCTGGTGAAGCCCACAGACCCCTTCTTCAAATGTTTTTATTTTTATTTTTATTTTTTTTATTTTTCCTTTTGCAAGTCTTGCTTATCTTCAAATGTTTTTAAAGGCCTAAGACAAAATACTTAAGATTGTAAAGGAAACCTATTTAGTGAAATATAGTTATCAACGTGTTTTGAAATTTATGACAGTGATGTTTGAATGTCTTTGTTAATACCATCAATTGTAATATCTAGCAACAGGATTCATAACTACTATTTTGTAGGAGGAAGTCCCATGAGCATAGCCAGCCCCAGAGCGGGAGGGTACAGGGTCTCTAGCCCGCTCCCCAGCTCCCTCCCTGATCTGGAAAGCAGTAGAGAGCACCTGGTCTCTTGGTAAAGATAAACCTTTGTGATCCTACCTCCCTGATACTTCTTGGCTGTGTGGCCTTGGATAAGTTGCTCGACCTCTCTGGGCCTCAGTTTCTCATCTGTAAAATAATAACATTTTTTCCTTCCAGTGACGATAAAATGAAATACATCCAAATCATGGCACCTAGCTGGGGCTCAGTGGATGGGTGCTTCTCCCTCTGTCTCTGTCTCCAGTCCCATGAATTGTTCTGGGAAGTGTTCAGAGCCTGGACGGGACACAAGGATCAGAGGGATTGTTGACTCTGAGTACAGAAGTCAGGGAGTGCAGGGCTCCTTGCTGCTCTCCCTGAGCCTGGAGGCAGCTCAGAGAGGATGAAGGGCCCGAGAACATCCTCCCAGGCTTGCCGCCCACCCTGGCATTGCCTGCCCGGCAGGCTGGACATGGCTGACTGCGCTGCCCTTCCTCACAGGGGTGCTGTGGGCGCCCCACTCCCAACCGCTTCCCGCGGAGCCCCCCAGGTCAGGGAGCAGCGCCTGCTGGACACACTGCGCACCAGGCCGAGCCCGGGCCTCCAGCTCTGGTTCCTGGGGGACAGGCGAGTGGGGGCTGGGCTGAGGGGCTCTAGGGGAGAAGTGGGGGATGTGACTGAGCTCAGGGTCACCCGCGGGGATCTGTGGCTCTCATCCTTGCCAGGCTTCACCCTCTCCCAACAGGCACCCTGGCGGTTTCCTGGTGGGGCTCACCTGTGTCAGGTCACCTGTGCTGTGGGATGGGGAGCACTGGTCTGAGAGTCCAGAGTCCTAGGCTCTCACCCTGACTGGGCAAGTCGGTCCCCTCTGGAGCTTCCCCCAGGATGACTGCCAGCCCTGACACCACACCCAGAGAATCCATCCATGTGTTCATTCGACAAATATTTATTGGATGCCTAATTAACGTCCTAAGAATACAAAAGCGAGCCAAACAGACTCTGCTCTCATTGTTATTAAATAGATCATCTCATAAAGGACATAATCTCACACCACGACCAGACAGAGGCAGGAGGGATGCTGGGAGAGGGGAGAACACAGAGAGTCCTGTCTGGGGGTCTGGGGCGCAGGGAGGAGTGTGCCCCACCCTAAGGAGGGGTGACTCCTCCTTCTCAGAGGAGGAGTCAGACCTGACAATGCGGAGTGAACCTGCAGGCTGTGAGGAAGTGGGGGAACAGGGCCCATGCTCCCTCCTAACCTTGCTCTCTGTCCTCTCCTTGCTTTTGTCCCTCTGTCCTGGCCAGCAGGGGCCCTAGAAACTTGAGGACAGCAGGAGCCCTGGCCTGGGGCCCCAGCACAGCCACCCACCTCCTCGCCCCAGACCAGGAGCCAGTGAGCCAGGTGTCAGGCCTGGTTAGGGGGGAATAAGGGAAAGGGGGACCCCAAATGGGGAGGGGCTTGGGCCCTCAGTTCCCCGTTCTCTGCCAGGGATGTGAGGAGGGGTTGCGCCTGGGTGCTGGGGTGGGGGCGGGGACTATGGTGGCCGCTGCCTGGTTCTGGTGGAGAAGAGGGGACAGGAGAGGGAGGAGGGTCCCCAAGGCCTGCAGGGGACAGCAGGAAGGGGTGGTGGGGAGGAGGTCTGGACACTCAGGGTTCCTCTGGTGGAGGAGGCAGGGGGCGGGCCTGGTGCGGGCTGCCGGGGGCTGGGCCTCTGAGCCACGTGCCCCAGGTTAATGGGGCATGCCCTAATTAGGTGGGTGTGGGCCTGGATTTGCAGCCTGGCAATCTGCTCCCTCCTGTCTTCTCTCTGGTCCAGCAGGGTCAGAGGGCATGCATTGAGAGGAGGGCAGGAAGCCTAGGGCCTCTGCTCTACTTGGGCTCCCTGCAGAGCAGCAGGGAAGGTGGGCAGCAGGCAGGATACGCCTGAGAGGCCTGGATCGGAGATGCCCCTGCGTCTTCTGGGCAGCCCTGGGCCTTAGAGAGGAGCGACAGGGCTCTGAGCCCTGGTTTCTTCGTGTGCAAAATGGAGTCACCCTCCTGCTGAGTGCGCCTGCAGGTGAGGAAGCTGGGTGGGGTGGTACATGGGCAGGCACTGCCCTCTGGTGGCTGCTTCCAGAGTTGCCGGGTGCTGGTGCTCTGACCAGAGGGTGCAACCCCAAACTTCATCTCCCACCCAGCAAGGCCTTCTTCCCTCCAAACTTCCCAGGGGCCTAGGGACTGCTCCCTCATGGGCCAGAAGCAATTCAATTCAGCAAGCATCCATTCAGCAGGAATTTAATGGGCTCCTACTGGATGCCCCGTTCTGTGCTTGGTGTTGGGGCTGCAGAGATGTCTGAGACACAAAGACTCCCGACTGCCCAGGAAGCCGGAGGCTGCTGGGGAGCCACTGGGCAGAGACCACGGAGCTCACCAAGTCTGGGCTGTGCTGACGGCCGCACAGCCACCTCCTCAAGCTCTTCCACCTCGCTGTCATAGCAAACCTTGGGGGTGCGTCCCCTTCAAAGAAACCATAGAAAACAGGCACACTCTGAACACCGAGGAGAATGGATTTGGTTACAAGGGTTCCTCCATTCCCAGAATTATTCCCTGGAGATAAGTTCTCTTCTCTGAGTCAGTTTTCTCCTCCCTGTGGGAACATCTCCATCAGTACGTACACGTTGTCTTATCTCCCATCTTTAAAAGGCTTTCTCAGCTGGGTGTGGTGGCTTATGCCTGTGATCCTAGCATTTGGGGGAGGCCAAGACAGGAGGATCGCTTGAGGCCAGGAGTTTGAGGTTGCTGTGAGCTAGGCTGACGCCACGGCACTCACTCTAGCCTGGGCAACAGAGTGAGACTCTGTCTCAAAAAAAAATAAATAAAAAATAAAGTGACAGACGTGGACTCTTCCTTCTACTTGAACACTTAGAGGCCATTGTAGGGTTAGCATTAATAATCGGCCTAATTTCAATATCGTTGTGTCTCCCTGTGCGGCGGGTGGGGGCGCGAGGGGTGTTGGGGCAAGAAAATAGTGTTTCTCTGCCTCCCCTTCTAGACCGTAAATGCCAGCAGAGCAGGGATCTAGTTTCTCTTGTTTCCTGCTCTAGTCCAAGAGTCTAGCACAGTGCCTGGTGTTTATAGAAGGTACCCAAGAAATGTTTGTTGAATGAATAAATGAACCCAGATACGGGGAAACATTCTGATGATAAAGCTTCCTGACAGGGGGGCTGGTGGAGGAGGCACGCTGATCCTTCCTGGCTGTGCCTCTTGTTCCATGCTATGTCATGGACACCTGGCCCCAAAGGCACTAGGAGCTTGTGTCTCAGGCACAGACCTTGGGCAGTAGTCCCTGTCTGGGGCTGTGGGGAGGGTGCACCTAGAATTTCTCAGCTTAGATGGGAGTGTGAATGAGAGCGGTGGAAGAGCAATGGATTCACCCACACGGACCCAGGGAGACCAGGCTGGGGTGTGGGCATGCAGGGTGGGGGTGGGAGGCTTAGCACAATAACACAATAACCCGAGAACAGAGGATTGGGTCTGAACTCGGAAAACAGCAGAAGAGAGAAGAGGAGACAGAGGTTTGATAAATATTTAAGAGGCAAATTCAGCAGGGCTCGGTGACTGGGTATTGAGGAGAAAGGAATGAGGGCACCAAGAATGGTCCCAAGGCTTGAAGAGAATCAATCAGTGCGACAGCCACGTCTTTGTGGCCTGCAGTTTTCCCTAGTCGAAGGGCACAAGCAGCCACTGGGCTCCTGTGCGTTCCCACAGCGCATTCAGGACCTACAGATGCCGGTTCTGTGTTGCGCTTGAGGGACACGTCCCCAAGCAGAGAGGGCGCGGGCCTGGTCTTGAGCCGGACACCTGGTCACTGCAGGCCAGGGGATAGAGGGTGCCCTGGGCCGTGGGGGATGAAGTCGGAGGAACTGTCGCAGGGAGACGTTTAAGCGGTGTCTCCGCAGAAGAACAGGGGTTTGCAAGAGGATGGCGAGAGGTGGGCAAAGCGAATTTGGGTTGGAAGTAAAGAACGAGGAAACGCAGTGTGATGGGAGGCGTCCAGTGGCCGAGCACGGGGGCTGTGAGGCGAGGGTCAGGGTACGACGCGCCAGGCTGGGCAGCACGGGGGACGCCGAGCTGTAGTTTGGTTTATCTCCCCGTCACCCGGGAAAGACACAATGCTGCCCTAAGTCTTGGGTCGCTCCAGACCGTACTGACAACGTTGGGTGCGCTGGTGCGACACCAGGGAAGGCAGCCAGAAATCCCGCGGCGGGAGCGGGAGAGGAGGTGCTCATAGCTGGGGACCTGCGAGTCCCTCTACCGAGTCCCCCCGAGCGCTGGCTTTGGGCAGAACCATTCTCCCTAGATGGAGAGGGGAGGAGAAATCCTTCACTCCGACCCCAACGCGGAACCACTAGGACTTGCACTCGGCTCTTCTTGCTCTTCTTTTCTTTTTGTGCCCTGTAGCACCACCACTAGCAACCCTCGCTCGCGGCCCTGAGTCCCGGGCCACTCGTTGCCCTCGGCCACCCCTGTCTCCACGCGTGGTGCGGCCCGGCGGGCGCCCGCTCGGCGCAGGTTATAAAGGTCCGGCTGCGGCAGCGGACTGCGGACTCGAGATGCGCCCGAAGGAGCTTGGGCAGAGCTGCGCCGGGGACCGGCCGGGCCCCGGACGCGGACCCGGGGACCCCGCAGCGGTCACCCCTGCTCCCCCGCCCGCAGCCAGTCCGGCTCCAGAGCCCTCGGCCGAGCCCGGACCCGCTCCCGCGCAGGCACCGCGGGTTGGACAGGGAGCAGGATCCAGAGCAGCCTCCGGATCCCAATCCGCCTCGGAAGCCCCTGCCGGAGCTCGCCCGGCCTCCGAGGCTGGAGCCAAGCGGAATGCGCAGTCCGTGCCCGACAACTCGGACGCGCCGTGGACTCGCTTCGTATTCCAAGGGCCCTTTGGTCCCCGGGCCACTGGCCTGGGGACTGGAAAGGCAGCGGGCATCTGGAAGACGCCAGCCGCCTACATTGGCCGGCGGCCGGGGGTGTCGGGTCCTGAGCGCGCCGCCTTTATTCGGGAGCTGGAGGAAGGTAAACCGGGTCCCAGGGATCCCGGGGCGAGTGGGACTAGGGCAGCTCCAGGGAGGAGGGGGCCTCGTGGGGTCCAGGCGCCCCGCCCGCTCTGGCCCCCAGTGCTACCCCTCCACCACCTCCGCGATGTCACTGCGGTGCCTGTTTGATGCCCCTTCCCCACCCCCCTCCTCCCCCCGGCCGATCCCTGGTTTCTGACGGTGCGTCAGGTCCAGGGCCCGCGCTCCCCCGCCCTCTCTGCGCGCCTGTTGCTGCGACAGATCTGCGCACTCTCGGCGCCCCCCTCCCCGGTCTACCGCAGTGCCAGGAGAGGGGCGGGGGGCTGCGGGAGAGCGCTGCCCGCTGCGCTCTGAGCCTGCGCTGGGCCCGGCTCGCCAGCGACAGGGCGGTGGGGGTGGGCAGACGGGGAGGTTTTCCTCCCCTTTGGCTGCGGGAGTCAGGGTCCCTCTCCCTCCGCCTCCTCTCCTCGCCCATCCTCTTCTGGGTCGGGGGAGATCTCTGGATGGGGTCTAGAGGCTCCGGTGCCCCCCCAGTTCGGTGCGGGAGAAGTCTTCCTGCGGTCTTCTCCATACGCAACAGGTGCAGGGTGGGTGACTGCGTCTGTTTTTATGACCCACGAGGCTCCACGGAGCTGGCTAAGCTGCCCGCTGGGTGAGGGGTGATGAGTCAGTCTGCGGCTGTCCTTCCTCTTACTCCCAGCTGCCTCCGCTCTCCTAGGTGCCAGGGACCCAGGTGTCCTGAGAGCCCAGTTCCCGAATCCAGGGGACTGTGATCCCCTTACTTCACCCAGGCCCCTTCAGGAAAAAAATTAAAAAAAAAGCCCAGTCCCATTGGCCCTGGGAGCAGGGCAGGGAGCGCTGGGTGCTGGCGGTATGGAGGATGTTGGGGGTGGGGAGGGAGCCCCGGCTCTTCTCCTGACGACCCCTGTAGGAGAACTGGGGATAGGGCTGGAAACAGTGGGTTGCCAGGTAGAATACGCCCCCCTTTTCCTGACCTGACTGGGCCTTTTCTCCCCACCTGCCTCTTCCTGCAGCGCTGTGCCCTAACCTACCTCCGCCCTCCAAGAAGATCACTCCAGATGATATCAAAGTGATGTTATATTTGCTGGAGGAGGTGGGTACTGCCTTCTGAACTCCGACAGGCCCCCTTTTAATTCTGTCCTGTATGGGTAGGTGTCTTGTCTGTTTCCTGCCTGGCGACCTCTCTGGGGGGCCAAGCTGGGCTTCCCTCTTATGTAAGGCGGGCAGATGTGGGATGTTCAGGCCAGAGGGGCTCTCAGAGCCCGTCTGGTCTGATCTGCTCTTTTTCCATAAGGGGAAACTGAGTTACTTTCCACAGTGTGTTCATGGCAGACTCTGGTCTAGTACCCTGGACACTAGGGGACAGGGAAGGTTTCTCCCAGGGGCCTAGCCTCACTCTGACCCCTGCGTCCCCCCTAGCTTCTCCCACCTTTCTGGGGGGTCCCGGAAACCGGGAAAGCATTACCCATGGGTGGTGGTCCCTCTGCAGAGAGAGCGGGACCTGAACACAGCAGCTCGCATTGGCCAGTCCCTGGTGAAACAGAACAGCGTTTTGATGGAGGAGAACAGCAAGCTGGAAGCCATGCTGGGCTCAGCCCGGGAGGAGGTAACTGCCAGGGGAGGGGAGGGGTGGGGAGGGACCAACCTACATCGTCTCCCTGGCCACTCCTGGCCAGGCCACACTCCTCTCTCTTCCGGCCAGATTTTACACCTCAGACACCAGGTGAACCTTCGAGATGACCTCCTTCAGCTCTACTCAGACTCTGATGAGGATGAGGATGAAGAAGAGGAGGAGGAAGAGGAAGAGGAGAAACAGGAGCAGCAGCAGGAGGAACAGCAGCGTGATCACGCCTATGATGCCCCTAAGCCGTGAGTGTCCTGCCTTTGCACCTGGCTGGCCCCTTTTCTGAAACGATCCTCAGTGTCCCCCTTTGTAAAGAGGGACATAGGTGGCCGGGCTGCTGGAGGGTTGCTGGGACTAATTGACACGACCACCCTTAGCCCTGGGGGGAAGCCCACTCCCTACACCCCAACTCCATTATTCCCTCCCAGGACTCCCAGGAAGGGGAAGGGGAAGGTGAAGCACCGCTGCCCACAGCTGGAAGCCATGCAACGGAGGCTCAAGCTGCTGGAGCAGGAGAACGACCAGCTGAGAGAGGAGGTGAGGAAGGGGGAGGGGGGCGTGGGGGGAGGGGTGCCCAGGAGCGGGAGACATTGACTCCCCTGCCCCTTCCTCTCTCCCTCCTTCCAGGCCTCTCAACTCGACACCATGGAGGATGAGGAGCAGATGCTCATTCTGGAATGTGTGGAGCAGTTTTGTACGTACTGTTGTAACTCTGGGTAGAGGGCTGTCCTGAGGAGTGCAGGGAAGAACTCAGGATTTGGGGTCTGGTCTGAGTTCAAGGCCCAGCTCTGGTACTTCCTAGCTGTGTAAGCTCAGACAAGTTCCTTGACCTCTCTGATCCTTCATCTTTAGGCTAGGGATGAATGAGCTCACCCCACTGATCTCTCCTGGGATTACTAGGATCAAAAGAGGCAACAGCTGGGGAAGTGCTTTGTGCAAACTGTAAAGAGCTCTACAGAAGCCACGGGTCTCCTTTAAGCCTGTCTCTTGTTATTTGGGGTAGTTAGGAGGGAGCCGTAAGCTGCCAGAGACCAGGCATCCAGGGCTGGGGCAGTTTAGAGTCACGTATTGGGCAGTGGCAGTGCCTGGCGCCATCCTAGGCACCGTGGGTGGGGAGAGTGATGAGTGAGCCATAGCGATGGTCTCCAAGGAGTTCAAGTGTAGCTGGTGAGTTGCAGACTCAAAGTGGCAACACCTGAACTCATGCTGTTCCCCTCTCCCCACCTTTGACCTTGCTTCCCTCTGCGTTCTGCAGCTCCCTGAATGGCCCCACTGGTCACCAGGCCACTGGATTAGGAGCCAGTCTCCAAGTTCTGTTGCTTCTACCTCCTAGGAATGGCTCAAGTCTCTTTCCTCCTGACTCTGGCTGCCTCTAGCCTGGACACTTCTTAACTGGCCTCCTTGCCCCTACTTGTGCCCTTCTAGGCCTTCTGCACACAGCCCAAATGAGTTTCTAAAACCAAATATGGCTGGGTATGGCAGTACGCATCTGTAGTCTCAGCTACTTGGGAGGCTGAGGCAGGAGGATCACTTGAGCTCAGGAGTTCTGGGCTAGAATGTGCTATGTGAATCAGGTGTCCATACTAAGTTTGCCATCAATATGGTGGCCTCCCAGGAGCAAGGGACCACCAGGTTGCCTAAGGAGGGGTGAACTGGCCCAGGTCAGAAATGGAGCAGGTCAAAACTCCCATGGTGATCAGTAGTGGGATCGCGCCTGTGAACAGCCACCACACTCCAGCCTTGGCAACATAACAAAACCCCATCTCCAAAAAAAGATAGTATAAAATAAAATCTGACCATGTTTCTCCTCTGCCTAAAACCTCCAAATAGGCCAGGCGTGGTGGCTCACGCCTGTAATCCTAGCAATTTGGGAGGCCAAAGCGGGTGGATCGTTTGAGCTCAGGAGTTCGAGACCAGCCTGAGCAAGAGTGAGACCCCGTCTCTACTAAAAAAATAGAAAGAAATTAATTGGCAAACTAAAAGTGTATAGAAAAAATTAGCCAGGCATGGTGGCGCATGCCTGTAGTCCCAGCTACTTGGGAGGCTGAGGCAGGAGGATCGCTTGAGCCCAGGAGTTTGAGGTTGCTGTGAGCTAGGCTGATACCATGGCACTCTAGCCCGGACAACAGAAGTGAGACTCTGTCTCAAAAAACCAAAAAACAAAGAACAAAGAAACCCCAAAAACCTCCAGATAACTTCCTATTGGCTAAGGGATAACCCGTAACCCTATACCTAGCCTGTGTGCTCTGGCCCTGCCCACCGCTCCAGCACTCCCTGGTGGTTTAGGTCACCTCTGGCCCTTCCTGTACTCAGCTGGGGCCTGTGTCTTCCCTTCTTTGCTTGGCTTCCCTCACTTGCCCTGTGGTCTCAGCTTAGTGGGTGGCTCCTTTGTCCAGAATTCCTTCCTAGACCTTGCAAGGCTGGGTTGGCTACCACAGCTGTGGCCCCTTGCTCCCATATGCCCTTGACACTTGCTCCCTTATAGCCCGTGTTGTTCTGTCTTGTGATCTGTCTCCCCATTATACTGGAGCACAGCGTGGGTGGGATCAGGTCTTGTTGGCCACTCGCCCCAGTGCCCTGCTCAGTGCAATCAATAAACATTTCTTGAAAAGAATCCCTGAGTGAGGAATGCTAAGTCCTGTGGGGCCTGCTGGGATCCACAGCAGCCGAGGGTGGGGCAGGCGGAGGCCTCTGGGGACGGCCAGATGGGTCCCTGGAGGCCAGGGGAGCCAGGGCTGACCTCCCTCTCCCGCCCCCCAGCGGAGGCCAGCCAGCAGATGGCCGAGCTGTCGGAGGTGCTGGTGCTCAGGCTGGAAAACTATGAACGTCAGCAGAAGGAGGTCTCTCAGCTGCAGGCCCAGGTCTCAAAGCTGCAGCAGCGCTGCCAGTCGGTGAGACGGCGTGGGCGGGACCCTCCTGGCCCTGCAGGCCCCAGGTGTCCTTCTCCTGCCCCCACCTCACAGCTCTGCCAGGTCCAAGGCCCTTTTCTGTGTCAGAGTCAGAGTTGGAGGAGACCTCAGAGAGCCCCCTATCCCACCCACTTGTCCCAAGGAGGGGACCAAGGCCCAGAGAGGGTCCCAGAGTCTTCTAGAACCCAGGCCATGTGACTCCTTGCCTTATTTGCCCTCATTCCACGTGACTTCTTACTTCCACGGCTGCCAAAGCCTCACTGATGAGCCTGGGGAAACTCGAGGGAGGCAGGGGTGCCTGGGATTGCGGGGGGCCACTGATGGGGGTTCACTGGTGTTGGGTCCTTGCAGTATGGGATGGAGACTGAGAAGTTGCAGAAGCAGCTGGCTTCGGAGAAAGAAATCCAGATGCAGCTCCAAGAAGAGGTGAGGCTCCCCCGGGCTCCTGCCCCGCCCTTGCGAGCCCCTGGCCCAGAGCGGGCTCCTCAGGCCCTTGGCAGCCTCCTGACTCTGGAGAGGACAAGCAGCTTGCAGGCAGGGACTGGGTCTGTCTCTTTCTGCTCCCTCCAAGTCGAGCACAGCCCAGCAGGTGGAAGTTCAGTTGAAGTGAGTGCAGTGGAGTCCAGGGACCTGCCCACGTGCCCCTGCATGACACTCTTTGGGTGTAGGGCTGAGGCCTCTTGTCCTTTGGCCTGGAGGAAGGGTAGGCAGGAGAGGGGGGCTGGGTGGGCCTGGGTCCCAACAGAGCCTGCGGGCGGGTTCCCAGCTGCAGGACCTGCGGGAGAAGCACACGGATGGTGGGAGCATGCTGATTGAGACACAGGAGAAGGCGAAGACCCTCCGCCAGCAACCCCGGGTGTCCACTGGGTCTGTCACCCACTACGCGTACGGCGTGCCTCTGGTGAGGACCCTCCCCTGGCCGCCCACCTCTTAACCTCTGTGTGCCCGTGTCCCAGCCCTGCTGGCTGATGGGGATCCTCAGTCCCCTTCTGTGCCTGGGACTGTGGGTCCCCGCTTCTGCGGGGTCCTCTTGTAATGTCCCCCATCTCCACTGTAGCAGGCACTTCCTAGTTTCCAGCAGACCCTGGCTGAGGAGCTCAGGACGTCGCTGCGGAGGATCATCTCAGACCCTGTGTACTACACCGAGAGGTGCGCGGCTGGGGCCTTGCCACGGGGGGAGGGGCGTCGCCTCCCGCTCTGACCTCCGTGCTAACATGGCGCCCCCTCCTCTGCTTCCCTACACCCACCTCGGTGGCTGTCCTGGCCCCTTGCATTGTCACTCTTCTCTGTTTACACAATCTCTGACCTATCACTTCTTCCTGAGATTCCTCCTCATGACCGGGCGCCGGGCCTTGGATACTAAATGTCCTTTTCTCTATTGAAGGAATTATGGGAGGCCCAGAGGGGACACGCCAAAGCCGAGGTAAGCTGGCCAGGGGCTCCCTCATCACCTGCCCTTACCTTTCGGCAGCCATATAGCCACGTGCCACTGGTTGTGCCACCCCGCAACCCCAGAGAAGGCCCACTGTCTGGGCTGGCTAGGTGGAGAGTTGTTCTGGGAAGGAGTAGTCCCTTTTTCCTTCAGATCTTTCCCCCTAGGTGGTTGTCTGATTTAAGGCTGCCTCAAGTGGGGACCAAAGCTTTTCCTTCACCTGAGCAGGGGCTGAGAGGCAAATGAGCGCTGGCCCAGGAGCTGGGAACATCTGAGACTAAGTCCCAGCTTAGTCCCTTAATTGGCTGTGTGTCCTCGGGCAAGTCACTTGACCTGTCTGAGCCTTACTGAAAATGGATTTGTTCCTGTGGCAACTAGATGTGGGATGGGCTGTGATAGTTAATGGATGAAGGAGGGAGGCAGAGGGGGCATTGTCCCTACTGGACTCTTCTGTGCAGCAGGGTGGGGGACAGAGGGGTAGGCAGGGCCTATGTGGTGTTGGTGACCATTCTTCCTCCCTCCCACCAGGGGCATGGGCTGGCACCCAGCTCACCCTCGCCCCTGGCTGGAACAGAACTGGGAGGAACTGTCAGGGTCTGGGTGCAGACTTGGGGAAGGGCAGGCCTGGTGGTTGGACTTTCCTCTTTAGCCCCATGGACAGGAGCTGTCCTAGGGGCAGAAGCAGAGGGTGGCTGGGTGCTCCAGCTGGTGTCAGCTCACAGAGGGATGGAAAGGCTTTTCTGTTTCCCTGCCCAGATACGATCTTCGCTACAGTGAGGAGAAGAAGCAGAAACAGAGGTTCCAGGCCAAGGAGGGGTCGATAGCGGCAAAGGATGTTGAGCCGGTGGAAGATTTCGAGCCTGCGGAGGAGCTGGTGCCCGAGGAAGAGCTGGGGGCCACAGAAGAGGTGCTGGCTGAAGAAGGGGTAACGGACGAGGGAGAGCTGGTGTCCGAGGAGACAGAGGCCTGGGAAGAGGTGGAGCCAGAAGTGGATGAGGCCACTCGGATGAACGTGGTGACCTCAGCCCTGGAGGCCAGCGGCTTGGGCCCTTCGCGCCTCGACATGAAGTGTGTGCTCCAGCAACTGGCCGACTGGCAGGATGCCCACTACAGGAGGCAGCTAAAGCAGAAGGTGCCCCAGAAAGGTGAGTGCTCCCGCAGGGGCCTCCCTCCAGCCAGCCAGCCAAGCTGCAGATCGTCAAGCCGATGAAAGGTGAGGGTGGGTGAGCCCCCTACATGCTCACTTGCCCCAGCCTGGCCCCAAGCAGTGTGCTGATTTGCATGAACTTTGCTTATCATTTGCATAGGCACCTCAGGTCCCCTTCAGCGGGAACTGTGGCCCCAGTGCTTGTTTTTGTGGAATTTGCTTAGGATTCCAGATCTCCATCCACTTTTCTCCTGGGGGCTGGGCTGGGGGTGAGGGCTGGGACTATTCCCCCTCCCCACGATCCCCCTGCACCTCAGCTTCCTGTCTCTGCTGCCCCCTTCCTCTGCCCTCCACCTCCACCTTCCCTGTCCCCAAGGCTCCCCAACCCTGCAGCAGTGGCAGCAGCAGGCCGAAACAAACGTGGGGGGTGGGCTCGTGGGGCAGTGGCCCAGGGTGCCAACCCAGGACTTTCAGAGGCTGGAGGAGGACAGGGCTGGCCACCCTCCCTGGGCCTGGGAGGAAGAGGGGCCTTCTGGGGCCACCCAGGCCGCTGGGACAAAGGCTTCCGCCAGCAAGGGCCACAGTTGGACCAGTCCCCTGGGTGAGTCTGAAAGTTGGCTGGGGTCTCCTGCAGGGTGGGGGTGGATCAGGGCACTTCTCCCCAGCTAGAAACCCCAGGGCTTGCGCACATCACCTGCTGAGTGCAGGCCTTGTGAGCCCTGCCATTGTGGAGCTCACAGTGACATCAGAGATGATCTAGTGATGCTCGTGCAAGTCGGACCCTTTGCACTTGCATTAGCGCCTTTAATCCTCGTGCCCTATGAGTAGTTATTATCATCCCCTTTTCTTAGTTGAGGAAACAGGTTCAGAGAGCTAAGTGACTTGTGCAAGGGCACACAGCGAGGAGGAGAGCTGAGCCTGTCCTCTTCGCTACCGTGTCATATCTCCTTCCCTGGCCCATCCCTCCTCTCTGATGCTGTCCTGGTGCCCCACCTGGCCTGCTGGGTCAGCCCTGAAGTTTATAACTTGTTGGCACCCTGCATTATACTGGCCTGTCCCCATTTTTATGGCCCTTTGGTCACTGCTGGGTGGAGTAACACTGGCCTCATCAGGGCCGCTCTGTAACGTGCAGGTTGTAAACTGAGCTTTATGGCAGTGGGCAACCTGCGTAACTGTCAATGGTGGCTTTCTGTCCCCTTCTGATGTGGCTGAGCAGACCCCTGCCCGCTGCCCAGGCCGGGCCTGTGGTCATCAGGCTCCCTGTTCACATTCACCCCCTTCTCTTCCAGGCTTTGCTGTTTCCCAGCAGCCTGCAGAGGCCCCACAGACAGCTTGAGGCCCCTCCTTCCGCTGCCTGGCCAAGTCCCACCCACCCCAGACCCTCCTTCCTTTCCTCTGAAATGAGACCCCATGTCTGTCACCAGCCCAGCCTCTGTCCTGATGAATCTCTGTCCTGATGAGCTTAAGGGCCCAAGCTTCGATCCTCTTCTGGGACAGGCTGAAGGAGCCCCGGCCCTCATTCTGCAGCTGGTACACAAGTTGTGGCTGCTGGGCCTGGATCACATGGTGGCCCTGGAGCAGAAGCGGGGGGTAGGGGGTGCGGGTGGGGGGCTGGCTACCAGTCCTGGCTCTGAGGCGGGGCCAGCCTGAGCTGGGGTGGGGGCTCGGGTCCCAGGTGTAGGAAGCTGTGAGCACCCTCCTAGTGACACACTCCTCACCCCTTGACCCTACATGAAAAGCGGCTCCCAAGTTTTTGTTGACTTTAGGGACCTGGCCCTCTGCCCTGTTCTTCGTCCTTTCTTCCCAGTCCCTGACCACTGTTTGTAGCCACAGTGTCTCTGCGTGTGGGTGGGTGAGGGGTCCCTCTGTCTAGTGGTGTGCCTCACCTCCTTCCCCGCCACTGGTGGCCTGAGAGTGTCCAGGCTCCCTACCTGGGCCCAGCCGCTCCCTCCCACTGTCCTCCCTCACGGCCCTTGTTTCCTTGTTCTAGATGTTCTGCCCTTTTCCTCTGCTTTGCTCATGAATAGCTGAGGTCTTGTGCTCAGGCCTCCCGTTGGTGCCTGATGCACTCCTCACAGCGCTTCTCAGTCTCCTCTTGCTTGTCAACCGTGTTCGTGCCCGCTCGGGAAATAAAGGATCTGTGCGCTAACGGGCCCGCCTCCAGCGTCTTTCCCAGGGAGCATGTGCGTGCGTGTGCGTGTGCGTGTGTGTGTAGGTGCACACTCTGCCGGGCAACGCGGTGGAGAAAGGATGGACCCTGATATTGAGTGACACGCCAAGGACTTGCATTCAATATGCCATTTCGGCATGTCCACAACCCCTGTGGGGTGGTGGGTGACAAGACCAGCATTTGTCAGATGGCGAAGCGGAGGCCCGGGCAGGCCAAGTGACCCTGCTACGGGTCTACCAGCTGTCGCGGAATTGGGGTTCCAACGCAAGTCCTCGGGGCCCGTGCAGGCTCTCGTTCCTGACCCTGTCTGCCCCCAGGACGCTGACCTTGGCTGTGAGGAGAAACGCAGGAGTGAGTGTCACCCACTGTCCCAAGCTGAGGTCTTCCAGAAGCAGACCTGGAACAGGGTTTGAGAACAAGTACAGTTGACCTCTGCATCTGAGGGTTCTGCCTCTGTGGATTCAACCAACCACAGATCTCCCTCCGTGGGTTCATTCAACCACAGATCAAAAATATTTGGGAAAAGGAAACAATTAAAAAATAACAACAACATAATACAGACAAAAACAATCCAGCATAACAGCTGTTTATGTAGCATTTACATAGTGTCAGGCATTATAGATAATCCAGGGATGATTTAAAGTGTACAGGAGTATGTGTGTAAGTTACATGCAAATACTACACCGTTTTATGTCAGGGACTTGAGTGTCCACAGATTTTGTTATCAAAGGCAGAGTTTGGAACTGATCTCCTTCGGATACCAGGAGATGACTAGTTTAGTTGGAAGGTGATCCCAGGAAGCACTCAGAGGGGGTGAGGGGAAGTGGGAATGGAAGGTAGCTAATGAAAGGATGTTTTAGGCAACTGAGGCTCAGTCCCGCTGGCGAGCTCTGGGAGGAAGTGTAGGTCTTTGCAACTGTACATATGGGCTGTGGACCAACTCCGTTACCTGTCCTGGGAGATTATCAGAAATGCAGAATCTCAGGTCCCACCCCAGACCTATGGAATCAGACTCTGCATGTTAACACGGTGCCCAGTAACTCACCTGCCTGTTAGAGTTTGAGACACATGTCTCAGTTAGCCCACCGAGGGCTGGCGAAGCTGGGGCATGCATTCTCCAAGTCTTACTTGGCAGCGGCTGGGGGCTGCTCGGGGCACTGGCTCATGGGCACTTCTGGCCATTCAGGGGCCAGAGGAAAAGCCCTCGGGCAGAGAGTAGCTGGCACTCATAGCAGGATGCGGTCAGCATGTGCGGCGGTGAATGCTGAGGACGTGGGCAGGCACCGGCACCGTCTGCCGCAGTCCTCCCCTTGTGCCGTACGAGTGGGGCAAGACTCAGATGAACTCAAGCTCCACGTGGAGTTCACTCTGGCCTGGCATTGCTTCTTTAGGATAGTGGCTGGGCTCAGTATCTTAAAAAAAGACGGTTGGAGGGTGAATGTTATAGGCTGTTATAGGTCAGGTGCTCGAGACCAGCCCAAGCAAGAGCGAGACCCCATCTCTACAAAAAATAGAAGAATTAGCCAGGCATGGTGGTGTGCATCTGGAGTTCCAGCTGCTCAGGAGGCTGAGGAAGGAGGATCCCTGGAGCCCAAGAGTTTGATGTTGCAGTGAGCTGTGATGATGCCACTGCACTCCAGCCTGGGCAACAGAGTGAGACCCTGTCTCAAAATAAATAAATAAATTTCCCATGCTTTGTGCTCCTTAAAGATCCACTTACTCCCTCTTCCCCAGAAGTCTTTGCCTTTGATTTTCCATCCTTGCTCTTACCAGTGCCCTGACCACTCAGGCAAGCCATGTGCCACTGCCCAGGAGCCCGTGTGCCTCCTTTCCTGAGGCCACTTTCCCCTCCACACCACACTGATGACCACCAGGTGTACTGCTCAGAACTTCGAGACTTCACCCACCAGAAGGACGGCCCCTCACCACGTTCAGGGTCACCTGTGAGTGAGGCCAGGGTTTAGCAGCAGTCAGTTTTCAGGTTTTACGGACATGTCAAGCCTGCCTGTTTGTAAACCAGGACTGGGTCTTTCCCCTATATGAGCTGGTCATAGGGAAGCCTCCCGTGAGGCCACAGGGGTGCTGTGGGAGAGACACAGGTGCAGTACATGCAGATGACCTGTGGATGTGGGTAACCGTGCCCTTCGGACCTTCTCAGGCTCAATCTTAAACGTACCATTTCCACCCTGCAGTGGATTGCTGATTGGTTCACCCAACCTTAGGACATGGCGGGTCTGGAATGCCCAGCTTGTGACGAGCGACTCTAGTTGCATAGTAACTTGTCCAGCGGTCAAATGCTCATTCCCTGCTAGGCCCAGTAGCATTCCAGGAGTGACTTCTTGAACAGTAAATGATTGCCTTCTTCACATGGCATGAACTTGCTCTAGAATAATCTAGCCCATCGTCTTTTTTAATATGGCATACAAGCTAGAATTGTTTTTGTTTTGCTTTTGTTTTTATTTTTGAGACTGAGTCTCCCTCTGTTGCCCAGGTTAGAGTGCCGTGGCATCAGCCTAGCTCACAGCATTCTCAAACTCCTGGGCTCCAGCGATCCTCCTGCCTCAGCCTCCAGAGTAGCTGGGACTACAGGCACGTGCCACCATGCCTGGCTAGTTTTTTCTATTTTTAGTTGTCTGGTTAATTTTCTTTTTCTGTTTTAGTAGAGACAGTGTCTCACTCTTTCTCAGGCTGGTCTCAAACTCCTGACCTCAAGTGATCCTCCCTGCTTGGCCTCCCAGAGTAGTAGGATTACAGGCGTGAGCCACCGTTACTGGCCACACCCCTGCATTCTTTAAGTCTTTAAGGACAGTGCTTGTCTCCACCACTTGGCTGGTGGGATGTGGTACTGCAGGTGCTAGGGCGGCTCCCCGAACTTGCACTTGGCCCTTCCCACCATGACACCTCTTAGTCCAAATGACAGGGAATTAATGTGAGAGTTCTGCTGGCTGTCAAGTATACCCATCCAAATTATGCACTCACAGCTCAGGGAAATGACCACAAGGCATGTCCAAGGACCCACTGGACCTACCGTGAGACAGACATAGGACTCCACCTGTTACCTGGCCTTTGAACACTCCCTCTCTAAGATGAGCAGAGGAAGGATGGCATTTTGGAGTCTGGTGCATCAGCTCAGGCCCTGCATACAAGAGCTTTTGAAATATCTGGATGTGTTTCTTCCCCCAGTGTACAATGACACTGATGAGTGGCTGGCTCTGAGACCTGATGCAGATTTGGAAACCAGGCAAGGGATCATGATTTTCCATTCTGGCAGCTGACATCAGCCTTTGGCTCATCTGCTCTTGACCTGTTTTAGTTGTGAGTTGAACAATACCCTCACTGGCCCCCCTCATGTCTCACTCCTAGCAACATGGTGGCATAAGTCACCACTGCAAATCCTGGGGCTTGAGGCCTCCTGGTTGCCATTTTGATCTTGCCCACCTTGCCACTGATGGTTAAGTGCTGCCACCTGCCTTCCCCTGTTCTGTGCTCCTGTCATCCCTGCTGCCACTAGGTAGCCCAGGTCCACAGTAGCATTCCCTACATCACCGCTGGCCTGGATGTTTGTGGGTTGAATTGTGAATCCTCCCTGCAGTTTATATGTTGAAGTTCAAACCCCCAGTACCTCAGAATGTGACCTTACTTGGCACTAGGGTCATTGCAGATGTCATTAAGATGAGGTCATTAGAGTGGGCCCTAATCCAATGTGACTGGTGTCCTTATACAAAGGGGACACTTGGATGCAGACACTCACATGGGGAGAATGCCATGAGAAGATGAGGGCAGAGATCTACAAGCCAGAGAACACCAAAGGTTGCCAGCAAGCCACCAGGAGCTGGGGGAGGGACATGGACAGATTCTTCGTCATGACCCTGAGGAGAAACCAGTACTGCCAACACTGGATCTCAGACTTCCAAACTCCAGAACCGTGGAGACAATACATTTCTGGGTTGAAGCCACCCAGTTTGTGGTACTCTGTTATGGCAGCCTTAGCAAATTAATATGGAAGATGGATTCTCAACAAGGCTTTACATTTCCTGACTAGTGCATTCCTTGTATCCTCCGGGAAAGGAGTGGGTTTTGGATCCTTCCAGGGGACATAAGTCCTCTCATGGGTTCTCTTGTTTTGCATAGTAATTCCATTCTTCGTGCCCCACTCCCAGCCTTTTGACCCTTTCCTTGATACTCTGCGGAGACAGTCTGAGCATCTTCAGTGCAATTGCTGCAGGCCATTGCTTTGTCCAAACTTCAAGGAGCCATCCCAGCAAGACATTAGTACTGGCTCCAGGACGTTAAATCCTGAGTCATGGGAGACTGCTCCCTGTATCCATAAACTCCCTGTCCAGCCATTCTACAGTTCTCCAGCCCACCCTCCCTGGTCCGTCAGCCTCAAAATCCATTCCCACCTCTGCTCTCCTGGCTCCTGCTGGTCCACGTTACCCAGGTCACTCAAGTCCTGCAGCATTTTGAAGTGAGTAATCCCTTTTTCCCATACGTGGGATAGTGCTTCTCCACCTGCTAAGACTTGATGCTAGTTTTTGGTGAGGAACTCCTGAAGGGGAACAGGGTCACATCTTAAGGAGAAGCACCATCTTGTGGAGCATCTGCCTCAAGGGGGTCTTTGCAGAGTCTCCAGATACGGGGAAGCTGCTCTCTTCTGGCAAGACCGAGGCTCTTCTTCCAGCCTGGAGGATTCAGAGAAACCTGGGAGTTGAAGAAGCATAAGGGTATCTCCTCTCAAGCATGCTGATATACACATGAAGGAATAAAAAAAAAAAAAGAGTATCTCCTCAAATGTCCCACCCAAGGTTTCGTGGTCCCACTCCTTTTGTTCTAGAACTTTAACAGAGGAGACTTGCTGCGGTTCTGATTTCAGCATCTTTTGTCACTTTGCGCTCTTACAATCAGATCTTGCACTCGATTTTCAGCACAGTCTTCCCTTGATGCGGTGGAAGCTGTTTGGCGTGCAGGCCGTGTCTTGAGTTGATAGTTAACTGCCCTGAGCATAACGTTCTTCCTTCAGGGATTCTCTGAGGATGAAGAATAGCCAACCAGCTCCATGGTCGTATTTTTTTTTTTTTGAGTCAGAGTCTCACTCTGTTGCCCGGGCTAGAGTGCCGTGGTGTCAGCCTAGCTCACAGCAACCTCAAACTCCTGGGCTCAAGCAATCCTGCTGCCTCAGCCTCCCGAGTAGCTGGAACTACAGGCCTGTGCCACCATGCCCAGCTAATTTTTTCTATTTTTGGTAGAGATGGGCTCTCGCTCTTGCTCAGGCTGGTTTCCAACTCCTGACCTTGAGCGATCTTCCTACCTCGGCCTCCCAGAGTGCTAGGATTACAGGCGTGAGCCACCGCGCCCGGCTCCATGATCCTTATAATTATCATTGCTCTTCATTCTCAAATGCTGAAGCAACTGCATGAGCCTGTGCCTCCTCTTATACCTGCTTCCCATCCTAATTCCCCACAGAGGAGAGTCCTAGTAATTGCAATGCTAAAGCACTCCTGGGCTTATCAGCACCCCACTTAACACCCGCAATGGGGTCTGGCCAGAATCTAGTCATGGCAGTCCACTTCCTACAACCCTCTCTGGTACCAACTATCTGGAGTTCCCCCAGGGGCAGGCTTGTGACAAGGAAAATATCGGGTGCTGGGACGCAGCCGCTTGCCGCCTCCCCGTCGTTTGGCATCTCCGTGGGCCAGCGCTGTGTGTGGCCAGTTGGAGGGCACGCTGCTGGGGCCGGCCCTGAGGCAGGGAGCCGCCAGGGGCCCTGCCTGACAGTGGAGCCCAGTGCTGGAATGCCCCTGGGCCTGCGAGCCTCCCCATAGCGCTGTTTGTGTCATCCTGATTGGGTAATTTTTGAATCCCACTGTTGCTGATTGGATGTTAAAGCTTGTTGCTGATTGGATGTTAAAGCTTGTAGTTGATTAGACGCCTTTGGAGTCCTACCAAGGGTATAATGGCAGGAGGAGCACAAAAAAGGGGGGTGTGTCAGAAGATCAGAAGACGCGAAGAGAGGTGTAAAACACTTGCTGGGTTGAGCCTGCTGGAAGAATAAAGACTGTTCTCCACTCTTCGTGTGCTGCTTGTTCTTTCCCTGGTCAAGAGCTGTAACACTACCTGTACACGTTGCCGCAACACTTGGAGATGGGTTTTTTTGAGTGCAGGTGGTTTATTTGGGTGGTGACCCCAAGGAACAACAGGAGAGTGAGAATGTGAGACAGGGAAGGAAAGGGAGCCAATAAAGAATGTCATTAGGTGGACATGGCAGTACAAGCCTGTAGTCCCAGCCATGTGGGAGGCTGAGACAGGAGGACCGCTTGAGCCCAGGAGCTCGGGACCGGCCTGGGCTACAAAGCGAGACCTTGTCTCTGAAAAAGGAAAGCAAGAATGTCCTTGAGCAGGTTACTGCTGTGGCTGGCTGCGGCTCAGTCCTGCTGGGGAACGGGAACGCTGGGAGACAGCAGAGTGTATCTTTATATTTGCTCTCCCACGGTGAGCCAGCCTTGGAAATTTCAAATTGCTTTTCTTTATCCTGTCACTTCTCTGCACATGTATTGTTCTTTGCCAAAGATGCTACTACATATGAGCCTGAATTCTAAGCGCCTCTCTGACTTGCTCATCTCTGTGTACTCCATGTGCTAAATGTGTGATACACACATGAATATACGTGTTTGCTTTTCTCTTGTCATCTGTCTTTTATTACAGAGCCCCACCACGAACCTAAGGTGGATAGAGAAAAATTTTCCTCTCCTACAGCCCCAAGGTGGAGAGTCGCCTGCGGCAGTGGTGTGGGCAGACACAAAACAACGCGGGAACGTGGGTGAGACGCCCACAGGTGCCAGTGCCAGCCACTTCCCTGTCCACTTGACGGGTAATTTATTGGGTTCCTCCTGTTCTTCTCACTGGGGATATAGCAGGGAGGGGGGACATGCGGTCCCCACTCTCGCAGAGTTTCCTGTTTAGCCTGAGAGGCAGACAATAAACTGCAAACAAAACAACTACAGATTGTGAAATGTGCTCTGAAGAAAATATTATGCTCCTGTGAGACAAAGTAACAAACGCTCGGAAGCATGTTTGCTCAGTTCTGCATGCCAGCACAATTTCACAAAGCCCCCACGACAGGATAGAGCACATGCCCCCCCCCCAGTCTATTGCCTGAGTCACTATATTTCTTAAAAGATAAATGATCCTAGTCCTTGTCTTTTTCTACACATCCGATAACGTCTGCCAGGGCTAGTGATTATGCCCTGTGATTTATAACCAGATGTGCTCCGACACCCAAACGTGGTGTGGCTCTGTTTCAGTGCCACTTCTGACAGGTTCCTGATGGATTTGTACGACTGATACTGGCACGTGCTGAGCGTGTGGTGGCACCTGCTGGGTCTGTCTCGAAGTTCTCAGTAAGACTTCTGAGAAAGCACGCAACCAACTTTAACTTCTTAAAAAGTTCTTGCGAGCTTCGTGATTGCTCCCGGTTCAGCGGTGACACAACCAGCTGAGCAAGACACCCCGTCTGCCTACACATAAATTAGGAATCCAAATTAACGCGCACTAACTCATATAGTTGCAAAGATAGCGGGTCATGGTGGCAGCATGTCTGGATGCCAGCTACTTGGGAAGCTGAGCCAGTAGGATGGCTGAGCCCACGGAGTTTGAGGTTCTGTGTAGCTGGTATGCACTCCTGGGACAAGTCCAGACCTGTCTAAAACAAAAGCAAAAAAAAAAGCTTGACTTCTCATATAAGAAACATTGTTTTGCGGAAAAAAAAAAAAAGCTGATTTTGCGCCGGGCATGGTGCCTCACGCGTATCGCTAGCACTCGCCTGGGAGGGCAGAGTGTGGCCGATACTTGAAGGTCAGGAGATTCAAAAACCAGCCTGAGCAATGAGCGAGACCCCCCCCCTCACCGTCTTTAACAAAAATAGAAAGAAATAATTGGCCAACTAAAATTAAAAAAAAAAAAAAAAGGGCTGAATGTTTTTTCTTTAGTTGAATAGCGCGTGACAGAGAATAGTGGGGTACCTGGGCGGCGCAGGGCTCATGGCCTATGATCCTAGCACTCCTGGAGCTGATGGCGGGAGGATTGGCTTGAGCCAGGATTCGAGAGCACCAGCCTGAGCAAGAGTGAGACGCCCTGTCTCTTTTACTAAAAAAATAGAAAATAAAAAATTAGCCGGCACTAAAGAATAGACAAAAATTAGCTGGTCATCGGGGGTGCACCTGTGAGACGCCAGGTATTTGGGGGCTGAGGCAGGAGGATTCGCTTGACATCAGGAGTTTGAGGCTTGCTGTGGCTAGGTCCTGACACCATTGGCACTGAGCCCAGCAACCAGAGGCAACAGACCCGCACCTCGGTCTCCAAAAACAACAACAAAACACAAAAAAGAAAGAATAGTGGGGTTCTGTGTGAGGGGTAGAAAGGGTAGGTGTCTCAAGAAGAGGCATTTCAACCAAGATCCTGAGCAGAAAAAGGGGAGCCCCCACACTTGTGCCTGGGGAAGAGCATTCCAGGCACAGGGAACATCAGAGACAAAGGTTCTGAGCAGGAAAGAACATGGTGAAAGGGAAAGGAAGAGGAGGAGGACACAGAGCGAGCTCTTCAAGCTTGGGCAGGGAGTCGAGGTTGTGTTCTAAGTGCAATGGGGAGTGCTGGAAGGTTAAAACCAAGAGTGACATGATTTATCTTTTAGAAACCTTGCTCTGTCCGTGGACCCCACCACCTATTTCCCACCCACACCTGTGGGTTCTTGCTCAGTCTGGGGCTCTGGGGACCCCGAGGAGAATTAGCCACGGTCCCCGTCTCAACCCCACCCAGCCCAGTCTCCCTTCCCTCACTTTCCCATGGCACATGACACAATCCATAGATCCACTGGAAACTGGTTTATTTTTTATTTGATTTTCACTGGAAAGGGCTGGGGTGGGTGAGAGGTGTCTGGGCTCTGAAGTCCAGTTCTAGGGACGTTGGTCCCCTTCCTCGGCACTGCGGCGGCCGAAGTCCATCCATCCGTAAGCTTCCTCTTCCTCCTCCAGCCATGGCCCCTGCTTCTTGGACAGGTCTGAGGAGGTGAGAGAGGTGCGAATAGGAACTGAGGTCAGCGCCAGTCTGGGGGACCTTGGCCAGACCTGGCTGGGGGAGTCGAGCAGGGAGGGCAGTGAGCAGCTCCTACCTGCCACGAGGTGTGGGGGCCCCTGGGGCCCCAGCTGCCTTCGGTGCTGAGAGGCTGCACTCGGCTGGTCCCGCCAGTGCTGCTCCAGGTCCCTGTTGGCCACTGGAGCCGAGGGTGCACCTGGCAAGAAGCCAGGGTGCCGAGGGTGCGCCTTCCAAGAAGCTTCAGAGAAGGCGGCCAGGGCCAGCGCAAAGATCAGCACGTACACACACAGTCGCTGCATCTTGTCTGCGAAGGGGACAGGGGCCTAGCGTGAAGGTGGGGTTGTCCCCTCGTAGGCCCAGAGGCAGGGGGCTGGACCAGACCTGCTGACAGGTCTGCAGTTCTTTCTTCAGTTTGGGTTGCTGGTTCCTGCCAGCTCCACCCTGGCCCCCAAGCCACGCCTCTTTCCTCCTTACTTACCCCAATGACAGCCACTTCTCCTGGAGAAATTCAAAACCTAGAGGAGTAATTTCCAAACTGTTCTGCAGAATTTGAGGCCATGTCAAGAGCTCTGTAGCTGTTTAAGTCTTGTAATTTTTTTTTTTTTTGAGAAAGGGTCTTGCTATGTTGCCCAGGCTGGTCTCCTGGCCTCAAAGCCATCCGTCCTCCTCAGCCTCCCATGTAGCTGGGACTACAGGCACATGCCACTGTGCCCAGCAAGTCTTGTAATTTACAGTGAACTTTAAATAGTTAAGACCAAAGGAACATACACACTCCACTGCCTACAGACCCCATGTTGTCATTTTGGAGACCACTAGCACATTCAACGTGTGGCTGGGTCACACCATGTTGGTGCAGCCCTCAGAGGAAACGTTCTCCTGCTGGTTTCCTTGACTGAGGAATAGCCTGTGGTTGTAATTAAGCGGTTAAGAAAAAATTAAACTGCCACCATTTGCAGCTGTGTACGAGGGTGAACCAAGTTTGGGGAAACCATGCTACAGAAGCAAACTCGAGGCTCAAACAAACATAAAATTCAGAAGCTCATTCATTCTCTGGATTCACGATTTTTGTGTTCTTGTAGCCTCGTTGTTCTGATTGGCTTTATCATAAGTAAATGATAAAAATTTTCCCTTGTAAGGCTATGTTAATAAAATGCTGCTTTTAACTGTTTTGCATAACGAGGTTCTCTTTTAGGTTTCCTTTGGGAGGAAAATAATTTTGCTGCTAAGGAAGCAGTTGAAAGATCCATGACCGAGGGCTGTGCCATCTGACACTAACCATGGGTGTTGTCCAAGGTGGTAGCCACCAGGCACAGGTGGCTCTTCACATTTAAATTAATTAAAATACAAATTTACTCCCTCTCACTAACCACGCTTCAAGTGCACATGTGGCTGGTGGCTACCGTGTTGGGCAGTGTAGATATAGAGCATTTCCGTCACCATGGAAAGTTCTTTGGGACAGCTCTGGTCTGGGAAGGAGCTTGAGATGGGATCCAGGAGTCCCTCATGGGTTCCAGTTCCAGGCTTGCCCAGTAATTTGTGAGGCTTTGGGCAAGTGACATCTCCCCTCTGGGCCTCAGTCTTCTCATCTGGGGGAGGGGAGAGGAGCCCTGGTCCTCCCATCCCCCAGGGCTGGGATGAGCGTAGAGGGAGGGGTCAGGGCCGGGCCCCAGCTGGGCAGAGGAGCAGGGGCTGGGAATGCCTAGAGCCTGGACTGAGGGAAGGGTCTCAGCCCTGGAGACAGCGAGAGCAGACTCTGGCCCGTGGCCTGGTGCCTTGATGGGGGCACCCTCCACCCTCCCCTCCTGGGTTTCTCACCTGCAGAGCTGGGACAGAGGGGGAATGGCAGTCTGGTGCTTCACAGGTCTCTGCTGTGCTCAGTGTGCCAGGCCTGCCTTATAAAGCCCTCAAAGTCCCTCCCAAGCCCCCACCATGAGACCAGGCTCCCCCCAGGGACAGGAAGGGGGTGGGGCGCAGGTACAGCCCATCACCCCTACCACACCCTGTGACCTAGGAGGTGGGGGAGGGGAGGGAGTTGGCCTCCATGGTGAGGGGCTAGAGCAGGGGTGGGGACAGCTCTTCAGCTGGGCTATGAGGGGCCAAGAGGAGACAAGCCCCCTGGGTCGGGAACTGCGTGCCCCCTCCCCATCCTTCAGGTCGGACGTCTGGTGCTCTCCCCCTTGGACCACGTCCTATGGGGGGGGTGGGGGGGCAGGTGAGGGGAAGGAACCCAACAACCTTAGATTCAGAGGAAGCATTTTTCGTCATACGCTGATGTTTGATGAGCAGGGAGTGTGTGGGTGGGGGTGAGGTATTGATCCCTGGTCCCCTACGTCGGGCTCTGCAAACATGACGTGCTATAGTTATCAGGGGCAATGGGCCGTGGGCTGATGGCCGTGCTCTCCCTGCCTAGTGGCTCACGTCCTGGTCACCTCCGAACCCCTTCACCCTCCACTAACCTGGAGAGCCCTTGGTATCTCTGTGCTGGCTTGTGTCTCCCTCGACACCTCCCTCGGTGGCCACCCATCCCCCCCACCTGCAACCCCGCCCCAGAGCCAATTCCTTGAGGGTCCTGAGTTTCAAGGCTCCCTCATTTTGCTTTCAAGGTGAGTTAGTAATCTGCATAAAGCATTCACAGCTTTACTCTATAAAAATACATCTTTAAATGGTTAGCAAATGGACGAAAGCATTTGCCAAAGATGAACCGGAAAACAAAATGGTACGCCTGTTGACTTATTTTTTAAATTGCTGCCTCGACATCGTCTGGATGGATATAATGAGCTCTAGGCTGTTTTTGATTTTTCCACAGTCGAGACTAGAGACTCTGCTGTCGTTCATGCGTCATCAGGGCCCCCGCCGTGTCTGGGGGAGCTGTGATGCCCCTTGGGTCTTGGATGAGGGCAGTGGTACCCACGCTCTCAGCCAGCCTTGCTGCGAATTAACAGGTGATGAAGGAAGTAGGCGTAGTATCCATGGCAACCAGTGGCCAAATGTTCTGGTGAATAACCAGTCTCATCCAGAGCAGGACGCAGTGACTCAGCAGAAGGAATACATTGAAAACAACAGAAACCGCGCAGGCGTTGGCAATAATTAATTGAATCATAGAATCTCAGAGGTGGAAGGACTCTGAGAGGGTTTGGGGGAAAGGATGGGGTGGGAGCAGCTCTGCTCACACTCCAGGGGAATGGAGGTGTTAGCGTTGCTATGGTAACGGGAAATTATAAGCTTGCGGCACAGCCCCAGTTGCACCAGAGCCCAAGACTTGCTTTGTGCCCGTGGAAGGGGGTTCAGGCCCCTCGACTCTTCTTCTCCGGGCTGGTTGTGAGGGGGATGGCAATTTCACCAAAGAAAAGCGTGGCTCCCACTCTACAGGCGATGGTGGGTGTCAGTGTTTGCACACACTGCCAGGCACGCGGGAGAGGGGTCTCTTCAGAGAGGGGAGAGACAGCCTTGGCCCTAAGGAGCTTGCGATCATGGAAACTGCAGTTCTCCTCACAAGGGGACCTTGTTTGCTGGAAAGGGAAAGCTTTCCTGGTCTTTTCCTGGCTGTTGAGCTTTGGGCAAATCTCTCTCCCTCTCTGAGCTATTTTCTCCTCCAGGAAATAACTTGGTGGTTGGGGGGAGTTTGGTCCTGTGAAGGTATGTATGTACGTAAAGCATTCCACAGAGGGCCCAGAGCATCACCGGTATTTAATTCGTTTTGCACCTTCTCCCCCTTGTCTTCTCTGGGTCTCAGTTAGCCTCATCTGTGCAGTGGGAATCCTTCATTCCCACCTCATAGGGCTGCAGTGAAGGGAAATGTGGCAAAGTCTATACACACGCGTTGTACCCTTGGGGAGCTTTTTCTCCTGACAAGACTTAAAAAAGGGTAATTCTCTAAAAATCATGGCTCTGTGAATCCCAGGTTTTTCCTCTCACCAGCCATGACTGAGAGGGACACCTGCACGCTTGCTACAGAAAGAGGCAATGGAGTCTACGGAGCGGGACCTATTGGTGTGCATGAGGTTTGGAACTGGTAAGACCAGGGTTTGAATCTTGGCTCTAACACTGACTAGTCAGGTGACCAGAAAATCCAACTTCTGGACCTACCAAGTTGGAGACCAGATCCTAGACCCTGGGCCCAAACCCCATATCCCTTAGAGGGCAGGTGTGTGGACCCTGCCCCTGTCATCATAATGACAATGCCATGTGTCAGGCACTGAGAAGCCCTTTGCATGAACAGAGGCAGTTACTCTCCGTGATGCAAGGACATAAGTGCTATTATGAACCCATTCTTCAGATGAAGAAACTGAGCTTTATACAGGTGAAGCAATTTCTGTTCTGGGTCCACACACCAAAAAGGAGAACTGGGTCTGAAACTTAGGTCTCTGTCCTCCCAGGAGGGCTATGGTAGGCAGAATGATGGTGCCCCTAAAGATGTCCTTGACCCAATCCCTAGAACCGGTAAATATATGATGTTATATGGCAAAAAGGGGCTTTTTGGATGTGATTAAGTTTATAGACTTTAAAATAGGGAGTTTATGCTGGATTATCTGACTGGTCCCAATTTAATCACACAACCCTTAAAAACAGAAAACTTTCTTCAGCTACATGTGGAAGAGGTGTGGCTGAAGGACAGCTTAGAGATCAGAGCTAGGAGAGGGACTGACTCCAGGAGCAGTTGCTGGCCTGAAGTTGGTGGGGAGAGGGTCACAGGATGAGGAATGCAGGTGGCCTTAAGGAGCTGAGAGGGGCCCTCTGCAGACAGCCAGGAAACAGGGACACCGGCCCCAAACCACAAAGAATTAAATTTAGCCAATGACCTGGATGAACTTGAACATGGATTTATCCCCAGAGCCTCCAGGAAGGAGCACAGCCTGACACCTTGATTTTGGCCTCGTGAGACCCTCGCAGAGCACTCCGTGAGCTACTCTGTACCTGAATTTCTGACCTACAGAACCATGAGGGGATAAATTTGTGTTGTTTCAAGCTTCTAACTTGTGATAATTTATTACGGCAACAATAGAAAATGAATACAAGGGATTACAGCCTCGTGAAGGTTTCTGTTTAGTAAAAACTGGCCCTGCATGAATTTGCATGTCATTTGTCAAATACAATTAAGGGAAATGTTCTTTAGGGTATCTGACCTTCAGAATGTTCCAAATTCATTCTAGTTACTGAGCACCTGCTGTGAGCCAGGGTCTCACGAAGCCACTTAGGGACAAGAGGTGACTATGATAGGTCCTTTCATAGCTTTGATGGAGTTTAGATTCTAGGCAGACAAAAAAACGAAGCACATTAACAAGGTACCCTGTGGAGGGGAGAACGGATGGGGGGAGGGAGGGCTCCAGCGGGAACTCTGCACACCTGAGCCCGCTCCTGCCTGCCGGGTGGCTTTGGGAGACCAGTCACTATTGATGAGCTGCAAACGGCTGTCAGCGAGGCAGTGCCTCAGCTTCCTAACTGGTTATTGATAGAGAGAGGTTGATGATGACGCAACCCCGGCCCAGGCAACCAGGGCCTTGGAGAGTGTGCTGGTACTATGGACAAACAGAGACACCTGGGAGGTGTTCATGTCAATGTGGGCGTCCATGGTCCCTCCTGGGGCAGGGGGCTGGGTAGGGGTGATTGCGTTCACAGGTTCTGGCCTTGCCTGTGGCTGGGGAGGAGAGGCAGCCTGCACACGGCTCTCAGACTGAGCTGCAGACGCCACCAGCACCGTCAGGCCAGGCGTCCAGGTGCAGGCCTCCCGCTGCCTGGGAGAGAAAGCAAGGGCGCCCCCCTGGCTTCTTCTCTCCTGACCTTCCCCGCCCCTTCCCATCTGAGGCCCACCTGTGCCTTCCAAGTGATGGTTGGTTCTCAGCCGGGTTTTGCATTCGGATCACCAGGGAGCTCTAACCACCCCCAGCCCCAGGCTACACCCCAGTCCTCTCAAATCAGAATCTGGGCGTGAGACCCAGGGGTCAGCTGGGGTTTGTGTGCAGGACAGGCATTTGTGCATATGAAAGGACAGAGGCTTCAGGATCCTGGGTTCAAATCCTGACTATGCAATCCAAAGCAAGTCACTTAGACGTTCTGGGTCTGAGTTTCTTTATCTGTAAAATGAGGATGATACTTGTACTTACTGTGTGGGTTAAATGAGGTGCCTGCAGCATTCACTTGGTCTCTGAAACATGGTAAGTTCTAAGGAATGGTCTGCTATGATTATTGGTATTTTCCATAGCCCTCCTGCACCTTATCCATGCTGCTGCATCCTGCTGGTTTCCAGAATATTCTCCTGCTTTCCTTGATTATTTTCTTCTCTGCCCTTCCACCTTTCCCTGTGGGTGAATGCCCCCTCCTCCTTGCAGGCCTTGTACTACCTCCTTGGGCCTGTCCACCTTCTGTCACATCCTGGCCGCCACCCTTGGGGCTGTTTTGCCCCCATACCCTAACAATAAGACCTTTCACTGTTGAATGAATCCTCATGGAGTTTATTACCTTACTTAACTCCAAGCCTGGACCCCTGGCTGCAGACTGTTAAACCTGTTGAATACACACTTAGGATTTGCTTATTTATTTTTTGAGATGGAGTCTTGCTCTGTTGCTCAGGCTAGAGTGCTGTGGTGTCATCATAGCTCACTGCAACCTCAAACTCCTGGGCTCAAGCAATCCTCCTGCCTCAGCCTCCCGAGTAGCTGGGACTACAAGCATGTGCCACCACACCAGGCCCTATATATATAATTTTATCCCAAAACAGAATTGTAAACAATTGTTAAGCTCTAATGAAGTGTTTAGGGCAAAGTGTTCTGTGCCTGTAATTTATTTATTTATTTATTTATTTATTTAAGGCTAGTCAAGTGAAGCAGTGGGAGTGGAGGAGGAACAAAAAAAGCCATAACTGGTTGTGATCAATTGGTTGTAAACACCACTGCCTTGGGACCAGCCTGTGACTCATTTTGAAATGCATAAAAAAGGTAAGATGGACAGATGGATGGATATAAGATCAAGAATCATAAAATGTAAATTACAGAATCTAGGTGGTAGGTATATGAGTGTTCACATTAAAATTCTTTCAGCTTTGTTGTGTGTTTTAATATATTTGAAAAGATTTTGTTTAGTGATTTTTTATTTTTTTTATTTTTTATTGAGATAGAGTCTCGCTTTGTTGCCCAGGCTAGAGTGAGTGCCGTGGCATTAGCCTAGCTCACAGCAACCTCAAACTCCTGGGCTCAAGCAATCCTCCTATGTCAGCCTCCTGAGTAGCTGGGACTACAGGCATGCGCCACCATGCCCGGCTAATTTTTTTTAAATATATATATTAGTTGGCCAATTAATTTCTTTCTATTTTTATAGTAGAGACGGGGTCTCGCTCAGGCTGGCTTTGAACTCCTGACCTTGAGCAATCCACCTGCCTCGGCCTCCCAGAGTGCTAGGATTACAGGAGTGAGCCACCATGCCCGGCCTGTTTAGTGATTTAAAATAGTGGTTTTAATTTGGAAAAAGCTCCTCTGTGGGAGGAGGAGTGGCCTTCCCCTGCCCTGGGTCGGAGGTGACGGGGCTGAGCTGGGACTGGTGGGGCTTGGACACCCCGAACTGCTGCCTGTCCTCAGGCCCAGCCTCCTGTCTCACCATTTCTAGAAGCGCAGCTCCTGCTGAATCTGTCTTTGCTGCAACCCCAGCCCCTCCCCCTGCTGGCTGCTCCCACCCCACCGACCCCTCCTGGTCTCACTTCTCTCCTCCCCTGCCCAGCCCCAAGACTTGTCATTTCAGTTGTGTGTGATGCACCTAGATTTCTGCCCCTGTCCTGGTTCAGAGCCTGCCAGGCGGTCCCCAGTGCCCCGCAGGCGCCACCCCAACCCTACCTTCAGCTCCTGTCTCCCACTCCCTGCAAAAGCCAACAGGAAAGTTCCCGAAAAGTGGTCAATTGATTCAATTTCAAATTAATATTCTGCAGCTGGGTTGTTGCCTGGCAACCCTGTGAATCATCTCTCCTTCACTCCCAAGGTCATCTGACGTCAGCCACCTTTTCCTCGCTGTGAACACAGCTGCCTGTGTCCACCTTCTGTCCTTTTCTCCTTTCCTCCATCACTGGAAGGTCTGTTCAAGGTCAGTCCCGCCACCAGGGCCCTTCATCCCAGATCCTCCTGCCTGCTTACAGACCATGTGCCTTCACTTTTTCATTCATTCATTCATTTGTCTATTTATTCAACACAAATTGTCTAAGTGTCCACTTTGTGCTAGGCACTGTGCTGACCCTGGGGACACAGTGTCCATCAAGAGGGTCTTTGTTTCTCTTCTCTTGGAGGGGAGACAGTATGATATGAGCTTACAGTGCCGTGGAGGGTGGCGGGGAAGTGAGCAGGGATGCCTTCTCCTTCCACTTGGACCTTGAACCTCTCTCTCCTTCAGGCAAGTCCTTCCGATGACTGTCACAAATCTTCACCTCCCCCTCTGCACAGTAATGGTGATGAAAATTTAAAGATCACTTTCGTGGTCAGGTCCCCATACCAAGCACTCTACAGGCATCATGTCCTCTGATGCTCACCACAACCCCCTGAGGAGGTTAATTCTATGGACCCAGGTTTACAGCTGAGGAAACTGAGGCACAGAGGGGTTGGTGAGTGTTGGACGAAGCAATGAAGCAACCCGCCGTGGGCCCTGAGCATCCCTGAACGTCCTTGCTGAGCTTGCCAAGAATGCAAGGTCATGACCACCCTTTACCTGAATCATTTCTCAGGGTTGTATTTGCAGTGAGCCACCTTGAGGGATGAGGTGATTACTGAGCTAAGGGACAAAGGCAGGCTTGCTTACTGCTTCCTGTGAAAGCTGTGCATTCCCCGAGCTCTGTAGTCCTCAGCTTTGATGCATCTACTGCCTGCATGGTGTCCATCTGCGTCCATGCTGGGGGTAAGGGGGCTTCATGCAAATCACGCTGCTGGCTGTGTTGTGAGCAATAAAGTTACTGTCTCGGACCCAGGAGTCTTGTATCTCCTGTCAGCATTGGTGAAACACTAATAGGGTGACTTATTAGCTTGCAAGTAGGGTCAAGCCAAATCCCCAGTTCAACCCAGTGATTTGCCCAGAACACAGTGCACATCAGACATGCAGTTGGGACTTGAACCCAGACAGTTTGATTCCAGAGCCAGCTCCATAGGTTTTTTTTTTTTTTCTTTTTTGGGGGCTCTGCTGGCAAGCATGGCAGCGACTCATAGGTGTTTTTTTTAAAATTTTTTTTCATTAGAGATTTTTACCAAGAAAGACCCATAGGTTTTTTAAAAAGTCTTCCTTTCCTTGTTGTTTTCCTGCTTTCTCTATCATGATCTTTCTCTTTGCTTCACTTTGTTATCTATTGAGCCCATGAGTGGGGTTGGAGCGAGTGACATTTCTGTTCACCAGCCAAAGTGATGCTGCCACGTGATGGCAAAACCCTGATTGTAATTTGCCCACACAACCAGCTTTGAAATGATACAATTCTTATTTTTAAAAAATTATAACTTATTTATTGAGATATCATTCACATACCATACCACTCACTTTTTTATAGTAAACGATTCAGTGTCTTTTAGAATGTTTGCAAATCTGTGCACTCAACACAGTGATCTAGTTTGGAACACTTTTGTTACCCCAAAAGGAAACCCCACACCCATTTGCAGTCACTCCTCACTTCCCCTTTTCCCTGGCAGCCACTAATCTACTTTCTGTCTCTGTGGGTTTTTCTAGACTGGGCCTTTCATATAAATGGAATCATACAATACATGGCCTTTTGTGTGTGCCTTCTTTGACCTAGCATAATGTCTTCATGATTCATTCATGTTGTAGTCTATATCAGAACTTCACTCTTTTTTACGTCCCAATAATATTCCATTGCGTGGATAGACCACATTTTATCTATGCATCAGTTGATGGACACTCATCATTCATCAGTTGATGGGTTGTTTCTACTTTTTGGCTATTATGAACAATGCTGCTATGAACATTTGTGTACCGGATTTTGGGTGAACATGTTTTCGGTTATCTTTGGTATATACCAAAGGTATATAGGCCTTAGGTGGCCTTACTAACAACTTACCAAGGTGGCCTTACTAACAACTTATCTAACAGAGGAAAAATAAACTATCAAAGAGAAAGTAAGAGAAACAAACTCACGACACATAATTGCCCCTTTTAAGAAAAACTCACAACTACCCCTCTTGTTTTGTTTTAATTAAAACACCTGTGGCCTAACTTGTCATCTCTAAGAGTTCTTTCTCAGCCTTGAAGAGCCCTAACCAGACAGCAGGTGTTCGAACTCCCTACTTCAGTTCTCGCCAGCTCCACATTCCAAGGACTCAGATAAAGGCAGCTTTGCAGAGAAAATAAATGAATAAATAAATAAAGAGTACCTGCAACTACCTCACTGCTGCTTCTGTTATCAGTGTGCTGAAGCATAGGAAAAAAAGCCATTTTTACCATTTAACACATTGACTGCCATGTGAGTTGTATTTAACTCAGGCCAGTTTTGAGCCTGGTGCCTTGTGAGGCAAAACTTTGCAGTTGTTCTTTTTTTTTTTTTTTTTTTTTGAGACAGAGTCTTGCTTTGTTGCCCGGGCTAGAGTGCCGTGGCATCAGCCTAGCTCACAGCAACCTCAATCTCTTGGGCTCAAGCGATCCTACTGCCTCAGTCTCCCAAGTAGCTGGGACTATAGGCATGTACCACCATGCCTGGCTAATTTTTTTGTATATATATTTTTAGTTGGTCAATTAATTTCTTTCTATTTATAGTAGAGACGGGGTCTCGCTCTTGCTCAGGCTGGTTTCGAACTCCTGACCTCGAGCAATCTGTCCTCCTCGGCCTCCCAGAGTGCTAGGATTACAGGCGTGAGCCACCCCACCCGGCCTGGAATATAATTTAACCATTAAAAATGGTGTTTTTGAAGAGTAGTTAAGGACTTAAGGAAATTCTCATATAGTGAATTATGGTCATTTCTATTTTCCTTTTTCCTGCTTTTTGCTTTGTTTTCCAATTTCTTTTCAGGGAGTGTGCATTGTTTTCATTGTCCAGTAAAACCTTTTTTTTAAAGAAACAAGGAAGAGTAGTGTGCACCCACAGACCCCATTCACTGTTCCTGGGGGTGGGGGTGGGGCAGTTTCCAACCCTTCTCCTAGTCACCAACCCCAAGGCCTTGGAGCTCTTCTGGTTTTCTGCAGTCATTTCCTGCAGGATTTGTCACTGGAGACCAGCCCTCTCGGCTTCTCTGGCGAGGTCTCCCGCTGGGCACCCCCACCCTCGCTCCCAGCACTGCTGCCCCGGCCTCTCACCCCTCCCACTCTCGGAACCTAGGGGCTCCTTAGGGACTGTCTTGACCTCCTTCCCTCTGCCCTGGTGGCCCCGCCTACGACACGGCTTTGCTCAGTGTTCATGGTCCTAAGTCTCTGTGTCCAGCATGACCTCTCTTCCAAGTCCAGACCCCACTGCCAGCTCTTGGCTGCGTTCATTCATCCGTGGCCATCGATGGAGCTCTTAACTCCGCGGCAGACACGGCGCCAGGCCAGGCGTGGGCGCCGTCACCCGCCACCCGCCACCCGA